CGCTCCACAATTTTATATCAACTAAGCAATTAAGAACCAAGATAAATGTTACCTTATGAAATATAGATTCCGTCAGGTAACACACGACAGTTTGTAGAAAAAAAAACATTGTGATTTTACTCATGCAACAAATATTATCCCCACTATAAAATTAAAGTTATTGTTCCGACTATTGTAACAAAATTAAGTGAATATTTGTACTCGGGTGGGTTTTTTTCAGACAAATTTTGACTTTTTAACTAGCAAGTTTTGACGACATTTTTTAAATATCATTCCAAAGGTATTCTTGTCCTGAGTTTAAATTTGAAAAAACATTTCACCTTTGATCTTTTTTTCGTAAAGTTATGGCGGTTGAAAGATAACCATTTTGGCCAACTTGTGATAGTTAACGTCTGATAGTTAACGCGACAAAAATTCTCAAATTCAAAAAATTCTTTCTATTTTATTACAGTTAATTTTTTCATGTTATTACAGCTCCATAGACCTTAAAATGCAGTCGGAACATTGTCATGTACTTTGTACCAGTTCTATGTGGTTCAAAAAATGCCATTAAGTGGAATGTGGTGCAACTTCATCCAGACGACAATAAATGTAATTTAACACCCTACTCATCGCAAACAAAGGCGACAAAAATTTTCCTAACAAATCTATAGTAAGAAACCCAAATGTCGATAAACAATTAGTCGGAGTTGACCCCCATACACTGAAAATGCTGATTATACAATTCCATACATTAAGTAAATAGAAAATGCTCGTGATACATTTTTCCCACAATTTTGAAAAATGGATGAAAAAAGTTATAAACTAATTTCTGCGACTCTTTGATTCAAATAAAACAAGCTGAAGATTAATATACAATTTTTGTTTTTTTTTGAAAAAAAAAGGTTATCATACCATTCCCAGTATATGGAAATTAAATGAAAAGCTTTTTTTGATGGCGACACATATAATTTTTTGGTTTTACTTCAACCGAAATTCGAATTTTGTAGTTAAACAATAATTTTCAAAAAAAATAAAATTGTACTCCTGAATACACTCAAGTTGAAATTTTTTCTTTTTTGCTTAAAAATGTTTTTCAAAAAAGTTGAAAATTTCTTTTTTTTTCTGTGGCATGTTTATTTCGGCTTTGCCTGATAACTTGAAAATTAATTTTAAAAAAATCATTGTTAAAAGTCTTGCCAAAATTTAAAAAGTTTGTTACTTTCGTTAAATCATTTTTGAAAAACAGCTTTAAGACACTTGAGGTGGTTTGTTATGCACTATAAATGCAAAACCAGTCCAGCCTTTGTTGCTTTGAGTAAGCTAGGGGGTATTATTTTGCGTTTGGTTACGTACACAAACCAAAATTTGCAAAATTAATTTTAGAAAAAGCCTTGTGGCCTTAAAAATTTGCTAACCTTTCCCACTAATAAAACAGCTAAAAACTTTCACTGTACAAAGATAGTACAAGAACAAAACTCCATATCAGAAGTTTTCTGACTCAGTATGTTTTTGACACAAAGGCTTTTTCTAGTTCATTCGATGAATCAAAAAAGCCTAACTTGTTTTAAGCTATTAATAATCAGTTAAAAACATGCTACCAAAAAGCCCTAAAGGTGCGCCAAAAATAGCGCCCATTTTTGCGATCGCGGTTGGGAAAAAATATTACTATTAGACTACTCTCGCTAAAACTCGCATGTGTAACAAGCACAACAACTAGCTGAAACACAATTTCTCAAAATCAAAACCAATTTTTTGATCTATTTTCGGATTAGGAGATCGATGAAAACATCAATTCCAATCACGATCAAGATTTTTCATTTTTTAAAATTTTTCTGTTTCTATTTCTTTAATTTGCGTTTATAGGCTTTATATGTTATTTTTTTCAATGATTTAATACTCTTTTGTTTATGGTAAGGGTTGAGTGAGAGCTTACGTTACCAATAACAAAAAAGTATTATTGATTGAAAAAAAAACAACATATAAAGCCTATGAATGCAAATCCAGGAAATACAAAAAAGTACACAAATTTTAAAAAACTTTCACTCCACAAGAGAGAAAAAGAGAGATGGATAAAAACTACATGAACGAAATCCAAATATGATTCAATTTAAATCATATGAAATTGAGCTGAAATCAGCATATTTTAACGAAATGTTCGAAAACGACCTATTACAAAATAATTCCAAAATGAACTATCGGTCAAAATCTTATCAGGGAACCATCTTACATCACTTCAAAAATTTCCACTCTCAATAATCATTGCTTTTTTTTGAACTTTAGCTACTGTATTCAAGGAACACAATTGGATGGAAACCTCCAACTATTTGACGAAAATTGACAACTTTATAAATCTTAATCACAAAGGGACATTCATAGAAAACGCGAGGACAACTCCAGGGACCAGTGTGTAACTGATCAAAAATGACGCGAAATTTTTGCAGTTAACTATGTTTCATTACTCACCTCGGCAGTCCGTCTTGGACAGTCCGAAACCTATTCAGGATATCAATCAGAGTTTGTACAATTCAGAAAAAGCTTGAACTGCTATTTAAATTAGACGTCAATCATATCATCGACTTCAATATTTTTTTTAAACATTTCTAAAAACCTAGAAAAAACTCTCGATGGGTGCGTATGATTCTGAGTTTTACTTACAACCGCTTCCTGCTTCAAATTTGTAACTATTCGTGATTCATAAGTTCACCCTAAAAGCTTTTCGTAAAATTTAATGACTTTTTAAAAGTCAGACTGCTTTTTTAAAAGTCAGACTCAGAAAGAAATGAACAAAATAATCTCCTTCAAACAACGCGTTTTATCAGTACTCCAGTAGAAGCAATTTAAGGAGGACTAAAATCAGCATTAGGATAACGAGATACACGAATCTATCCTGCTAAAAATAGGTAGTATGACTAACAGACAGTGTACTTCATCAGAATTTACTCTAAAAAATAGCCACAAAATCTGATCTCGCCACTTTTAACTTTGAAAGTTTGCGATTTAAGAGATACAGCTAATGATTGTGGAGAATGGTTTTTAAGATGAAACCAGTAGCGGATTTAGATAAGGTGGCATCCGCCCCCCCCCCCCCCCCTCAGTAATTCGACCCCTGCCGACCCAAAAGGTCCCCCTTTGTATTAGTTTGAGATCTCCATTTTGGCTGTATGGACTTAAAATTTTTAAGAACGCGCCTTTGGCGCCAAAATATACTAATTTTGAGGGGGGGGGGGGGGCGCCGAAAAAAAAACATGATAATTTGGTGAACATTTTCAAAAAAAAAATGCCTAAAAATTTCTTTTTTGGCCTGTTTTTAAAAAAAGTTGCCTGCGGCGCAGAAATTTTGATCAAAATAAGGTCTTTATAAGGGTTTGACAGAATTCAGGAAATGAATTTGGTCTAACTAAAAACTAATTTGGCAAATTTTTGAAAAGCCGCCCCGAGAAAATCATAGATCCGCGCTTGGATGAAACCGAATTAAGATTGCAAACCACTCGTTTTGAATCGTCGAGTAGAGACGAAACATCCGTACCGATTGATATAAATTTTTTTGGATGTGAATTTTCAATAATTTTTGATTAATCTTGGAGCGATGCTTTAACGACTAACATTGGAACCAAACATTAAAAAAATTTTAAAAATATTGGGCGACAAATAGTTGTCGCTGCATACACGACAGCTTTTCTGTCGGACAAAAGGTTAATCAATAATTGACAAAATTGAGTCGAAGATAACCGATTTCGATACAACACAAATGTAGCAAGGCAAACGAGCCGACAGAAAATAAAACAACACCCACAGATATAAAATTTGAAAAATTTGGTCTGCTAAAATTTTCAACTGTCTTGATTTTGTATTTTAAAAAAATTGTTTACAAGAAAAACATGCCAAATGAGACAAATTAATGCTGCGGTAATAAAAAAAAACTGTGCCAAGTAAGATAACTTAGAGCGGTAACAAAGCCGATAATACAAGAGCAGACACACGTGCTAATCGCAAGGGTAATGAAACAAAGGAAGATTGTTTTGATAGAAATTAATGACATGTGTTTATACGGTATCATACTTGATTTTCAGGAAAAAAAATATAAGACCCTGACAGTTTTGATAAACATACTCCTCACCGTTTAGAAAGATCATGATCCCAAATTCCTCCTTTCTGTCAATGGTTTCTACGAACCATATAGACATTCCGGCAACTGCAGCTAGTTCGATTGCATGTCGAGTAACCCAGGTTTTTTCCCGACTCCAAAATGTGTGTTCAAACGAAAAAGTTCTAGCTATCCACTCGTAGTCAGCTTCACTGCGCACACTTGGATGCAGCCAGTTCTTACTTAGCGTTTCATCCTTTATTCGAAACTTGTAGAACTCTGATTGGACAGATTTTTCGTTAGCAGTGCTGAGGTAATCCAGCCATTTGTCATTTTTTTTGAAAGATTCCGGCACAATTAATCCAACTTCTAATTGAGCACGAGAAACTGCTCTCATTAAAATAGGTCCGATTTGATAATGGATCCAAGTTTCTGTTGCGTCCAAGAGGAATTCATCCCAAACCACCAGTACGGATTTACATTCGGTACCACTAAACTTTTCTTCTGGTTTTGCGAGACGTCTGTCAATGTAAATTATTACGTATCTGCCATCGGCATTCCAATTCTGTCCTATGAACGATTGCATATCACTAACTTCTTTACTTTCTGTCTGTTTGACGGATTTACTGGTGTAAATTAAAACTAGTCGGTCTGATCGAAACTTTGGGTTCAAGAAATCCGTGTCTTTAGCTATTTCTTTACACTCAGGCAAACTCTTTATATATTTCACTTGAATCTTTTCTTGCGTAGATTGAAAGCATCCTGCAACTACTTTCCCTATATGATATAAATCATTTTTAATATTACGGCGGGGAAAGTGATATTTGTCACCCACTTTCAGAGACCCATGATTCATCATACTGATGTGCTGGGAATTCCTGAACAAAATATGGAGGTATAAACACTTGTATTCCAAACAAAACGGAGACTCATCACAAGCATCAGCTGCATCTTTAGTTGTGAAGATAGTCTGAGCAACCCAAATATATTTGGCGTTTAGAGCAACTATTGTGTGGATGAACAACAAAAAACTAAGGGCATCAAATTCGTCCAACATTATTGCATAGGTCTTCTTACTCCTCCTAAACAAAAAATTGAATAAATATTCCCTCATATAATGAAATTTGAAGCTATTTTGCAAGGCTGATAACACTCTAGAACCTCGTGAGCTGCAATACATTATGAAGCAAAGAGCACAGCATTCTCCTATGCGAATAAAAAGTTGTACAAAATGTACCATTTATCTTAAAAATACGACCCGCATATGTGATATTTATATAAGAAAATTTAGCAATGCGATAACGAGGCCAAAATGTGAATTTTTGAAAAGTAAGCAAAATTTACAACTGGCTGAAAACAGATTTGTCGCGGAAGTTCTAAAATTGCAGTTTTTCTTTGATTTTAATTGCTGTTTTGGATTAATGGAAAATGCTTATCATAGAGTTTTCATACAATTTTCTGTACGTATGGAATTGTATGAAATTGTATGACAAGAAGTTTCTCATATATGGAAATTGTATGATCAGAAGTTTTGGTCAACCCGGGTAGCGGACGCGCATTTTGTCAACACGAATCAATTAGCAGAATTTAACGACTTTTTGAGCAAGCTATGAGCAAAAAAATTTACAAAAAATAAATTTTTTCAGGACAAAATTGGTAACCAAATTTTGCCAAGCGATGAAACTTGTTTCTAACCGAGCTTGTTAAGCGATGAAAGAATTTCAAGTTGCTGGTTTCAACAAAACGGATACCAAAACATCAGTTTGTTCTTAGCAAGACTTTCAAGCGATGAAAAATTGAAATAGTGCAAATTATTCCGAAGCAGAAATCGGTTTGCAAACAATTGTTCAGCTAATCAAGCCAGCGATGTTGTAGAGTTTTATTAGTCTATCTCTTACTCCGAAATGAAATTACTCATATGATTTTAAACCATGAATGAGTTTGCAGAGAAGATAGGTTTATCCAATCGAGTCTTCAAACAAAAAAGTTCGGATTATTTTAAAATGCAAAGCTTATCAGATGGTCCAAAATATGTTATGGCATCAATTAATTTCCAGAAATTAAACTTTTTCTAAAAGCTTTCATCAAGTAATAAACGTTTTTTTTGCAGTTTATACAACTGATTTTTTTCAACTGATTTTTTCAAATCAGTTTTTTCGACTGATTCTTTTTTGCTAAAACCCAATTGCAAAACTTCAGCTTTTTAAAGCAACTTCGACGAGAAGTTCATTTTCGAATCATTTCGATTTTTTGTAGCGGGAACTGATTTATCGAAACTCAAGTTCTTAAATTGAAATTCAGAATTTTCATTAAGCATAAACAATAAAATAGTGACCGCCGCAGTCGCGCTAACGTGTTGCGAGCTTGCCAACAGAGGGTAGGGCTCTATACGAATTTTAGAGCCGGTTGTCGCCGCGAAGCCTAAACCGGACTGTTTTGTATCGGACTGCTTTTTTCGTTCATTACATGATTTTTCGGGCTGTTTTGATTCGGACTGTTTTGTATGGGACTGTTTTGTGTGGGACTGTTTTGTGTGGGACTGTTTTGTGTGGGAATGTTTTGTATATGCACCGGCTTGTTAAAGCAAATATTTCTTAGACTGTTTTTCAGGCTGTTTTGTATCGGACTGTTTTTTCGTTCATTTTCATACTTTTCCGGACTGTTTTGTATTGATCTGTTCTGTATTGGAGTGTTTTGTACAGACACTTCAAAAACATGTCAGAGCATGAATCGGTTTGGGACTGTTTTCAGTCAACTTCCAAGAGCGATAAAACTTTGAGCTCTCCCGCTTTACCTCAAAGCACTATTTTTTGTTTATTTAGGAGAGTAAAATTATACAGGCAGGTAAACAATAAACCGCATGTACAAATCAAACCCGTCAAGGATCATGCAAAAAGCTATGCAGCTTATCGAGGCATGACCCTGAAAAATTCTATGACAGAAGTTGCGAGATAATATCCGGCTTGGTGATTCAAAAAACAAAACTATAAGACCTCAATTATCTTTAAGAAACAATGAAAACAAGCTTTTGAAATACCAGTTTAGTTGATGCTTTATTTATTTGGTTCAGACTATCTGGTATCAGCTCGTTTGATTTCAAAAAATTTTAACATTTAGGAGACAGATTTTTCCATGAACGCTGCATTATTTGAGTTTTCATGCTTGGTAAAGTTTTTGCCACAGACGCCCGAGTAACACGACGGTTATTTAGAGATTCCAAGTTAAAAGTTTCAAGGAGAGTTTTACCACAAAGTTGATTAAAAGTTTCTTTGAAAGTTTGTCTGAAATATAAGTTAAAAACGGTGTCATTCTCAAAACAATGTAGGATATATGAGGCTTGCTTGAATTTTCTTAAACAAACTTTCTCAAGCATGCTGAAATAAATAGTTCTAAAAATACGTTTTTGAATCACAAATACTTTTTCTAATAGGCTTTTTGATGTTGCACCAAATGCAATTAAACCGTACGAAATGATTGGCTTTGCATAGAAGTTATAAAACTTAACCAGAACATTTTTCGAGAAATAGTTTGTACCCTTGAATAGTAAACCGTTAAATTTAGCTAATTTACCACAAACATTAATAATATGAATTTCAAATTTGGGTCTGTTGTCCATTTGAATTCCTAAATACCTTAAATCAGAAATTTCGGATATTTTTCATTTAAAATATCCCGTTCAAACTTCTTTTTCGCACTTTTTTTGATTTATGAGCAGTTTGTTATTGATGCACCAATTACAATTTTTAATTATTTGTCTGGAATTTTGTTTTTATATGCAAGTTTTTGAGCATCAACTACTGTTGTATCATCAGCAAATAATGTTAATTTCACGTTGCCGGCCGACGGCATATCATTTATGCATAAAAGGAACAGAAATGGCCCAAAATGAACCTTGAGGAAAACCGTTTGTACATTTTCGCATATTCGAGACCGATTGATCCGAATTGTCAATATTGTTTGTCATTAACTTGTGAATTTTCCCTCTGAACCCATATTGATAAAGTTTGTCAAGCAAAATTTTCCGATCAACTGTATCAAATTCTTTTTTCAAATCAAAAAAGCAGGAGAAACCAAATTTTCTATTATCAATTGATTCACGAAAGAAGTCAGTAATGGACAAAATGGCATGAGTACAAGAATGATTACTTCGATAACCAAACTGATGCTTATCAGTCAAGCTGTTTCTAGCGGCAAAATTGGATAGGCGCTGGAAAATTTGTTTTTCAAAAAGTTTATCTATACAAGACAACAAACTATTTGGACGGTAGTTATCGGGTTCAGTTTTGTTGCCAATTTTATGCAATGGTAAATTTTTTGCAATTTTGAGAAAATTAGGAAAACACTCTTTCTTGAAACATATTTTGAAAAAATGCGCTGAATTGTCAGCCAGCACTGGAACAGAAACCTTTACCATTTCACTACATATCCCATCATGACCAGTAGGCTTTTTATTGTTCAAGTTTTAAATTTCGTTCAATATCTCATATCGATTGGTATCATATATAACGAACGCATTTTTTTAACTGGAAAATTTGATCTATACACGTTTATTTAAAGTTTTCTGTTAGTTCTTCTCCAATATAGCAACATCATTGAAAACATTAACATCGAAGAAAGCAGTATTCGCAATTTTTCTACCACAGAATTGATTAAAAGCATCAAAAATTCCGGACGAATTCTTCTTCTTCGTTATCATGTTATCATAGTACCGGCGTTTACTCTCCCTTATAGCCTTAATAACATTGTTCCTACTTGAGGTAAAATTATTTCTGTTGTCAATGAATGGTGTCTGAATCCAATTTTTGTGTGACACATTTGGGTTATTAATCATTCTCCTAATTTTCAGATTAATCCATGGGTGGTTGTTTTTCTTTTTTCGGATTTTTTTCGGGCAAAACTTCGAAAATTCATCTATCAAAATTTGGGTCATTTCAAGGATGTAAAGGTGAGGACCATCATCGCAAATTTTGCTCAATCGATTAATTAGCAAAAACAAAAATTTTAAACAATAATCTTCATTCAGTAGTAAATCATAGTTGAAATCCGTTTGATAAGAATCCACGTTTTGCTTTTCTGAAAAAATTTTTAGGTCACACGTAAGTCCATAATGGTTACTAATAGTAAGATTTAATATTGTTACCTGCGTTTCCTCCGCCGCAATTATACGGTCAATGCAAGTACTTGATATGTTAGTTACTCTAGTTGGCTCGATATTTTGAATTTCTAAATCAAAAGAAAGCAGAAGATTTTCATAGTCACTAAAGTTGCGCTGGCTACCTAGAATATCGACACTTAAATCAACCATTAGCAAAATTTCACCGTTTAATGCTTTCATTTCAAGCGAAAAGTCTTCAAACAAATTCAAAAAAGGTCTAGTTTGAGTTTTGATGGACGATATATTATGCAAATTTTTAGTGGAGGGTGATCGACAAAAAACATTTTGATAACAATGTGCTTCAAACTGACTGGAAATACAAAATAGTTATCATTAAGACCAGTTTTTTTTTGAAAACTGCAACGCCCCCACCACTAGTGTTAACGCGGTTTGAACAAACATTATTGTCATAACCTTCTTAATTATAAATACCAATAGGATCATTGTCTGAGAACCATGTTTCAGTCAGCCCAACTAATGCAGGCTTGTTATTAAAGGAATCAATTAAAACTGATAATTGGTCATGATGGACTCTTATGGAATGAACAATTAGGAAAAATACTGTTTGCAATGTTGTCAGGTCTGTCATATCTCGCAAAAGTTTTTTCTAAAATGAAACAAAAGAGACTTACGGCAAAAATCCGTAAATAGAGTTGAAATGATTTTGCCACTAATCAAAATCATTTTCATTTGATTAGCCGATTGAAGTAGTTCGTTTAATTTAGAGTGCGAAATGCTTAGCAAACTTTAAAAGTTTTAAAGCAGTTTTTAAATAAGAAAAACCAAATTGATGGAGCATTTTGCCAATCTCGATCGAAGAAAAAATTTCATAATTTGGTTATTGTATGACCAATCGAGATTTTTGTCGTTTTAATTAGCTTATCCTAAAAATGGGAAAAAAATCACAAAGGGCTCAAGAAATTTCCT